CCACCTCCCCTCTTCTCCCCCAAGAGCCCTGCCACTCTTGATTTAGTGTCCATCAGGTAGAGAGGTGGGTAGAGGGGGGAGGGGGGAGCAGCGCGACAATCGAGGGATGGTTCGCGAGCTGGCCGAGGGAGGTGTGGTGACGAAGGAAGAAAGGGAGGTGAAAAATCCCTCCCCCTCCCCCCTCCTCCTCTCTCCCCCAAGGAGACCGTTCTGGATGCGCCTATGTGCCAGGCATAACATTATTCTCCGCTACTTATGAAGCTCTTTCATTCAAAAACATTTCGTCTGACGTCCTCCATGATGACGATGGGATACTCGAAAATGGACCTCAACCTGAGCCATATTTTATGATAAGGATCAATCACACGAAATTTTTTTCAGTATAATCTAATAGCAGACGATGGGGTACTCAGAAATGCACCACTATTAGCCCAATAACTTTGAATAAGCTAAAAAACTCAAGCAAAGAACAAAAGGGGACGGCTCATAGAATAGCATTTCTAGGCCTTAGTTCTGAATGTTAGAAAGCGAGATTTCGGTTTCTTTCCAAAAAAAAAAACATGCCAGAATATAGCATAAAATTTCTGTGGCTAAAAGCAAATCAACAATTCAGGGAGATTTATGAGGATATGCAACTGCGAAGAAAAGCGTAAACGTTGGGATAATCTCAGAAACTGTGTATTGAAAATGAGCGAAAAGGTGTTTTTTGCAGATTTCAATAAGTAAGAAATCTATGAAAACACCAATTCAACAAGAATGAAACACATCATAGAGCAGAGCAAACACGGAGAACGACGAAATGCACTAACCTTATATTTTCCGGTATCGTCCGAAATGATATCGGTAACCGTTCTAATGCCATCTTTTGTTGACTCATGCGATCCTCCCAAAGCTGCAAATGTCGAATTTCTCTCTCCTACAGATATCCTTTATATCCGTCTTGCAAAATTAGACACATAACTGTTCAGTACATGGTGGATAGAAGGCTGTACTAAGGATTCCCGTTCTTACCCGCACAAAAAGTTCAACCCATGTATAGAGCTGAGAAATGAAACACAATGAAAAATTTTATAATTTTGAAGAAATTTAAAAATTATAATTCTTTGCCATTTTCTCCTGTTCCTTTTTATGCGTTTTTGCCGTGCAGCGCTAAAGCGCTGCAACAGGCAGCAAAAACGCATATTGGA